GTCTGGGCCATGGGACCGCCCTCCTGTCTTCTCAGGTGGGGGCGATGGCTGGACACCCGTCTCCGGGGTCGTGGGATGGGGTGGGGTCCAGCGGGTGGTAATGAGGCGCGCGGGAGGGGAAGACACGACGAGGAGAAAGTCTCAGCCGGCAAACGTGCTCCCAGAAGGGAGCGGGGGTCCAGCCACAGCAGCCGCAGGCCCCCTGGCCGCGCTCACCCGGGCCGCAGTCTCCGTGCGACGCGCGCACGGACGTACAGGGGGTCCGCGAGGGGCGCCTCTCAGGGCATCGGGAGAGGGCGGCTGGGCAGGAGTCTTACCACCTTTTTTTTTCCGTGATGAAATTCACTTTCCCCCAAATATTAAATGACACACGGACGTTTGGAAGACAAAGCAAATGTAAAACAACGAAAACCGAGAGAATCGCCCATAAGGGCACTACACGGACTACTGGGAAATTTTAGAGGTGTTTTTTTTTCTTTTATCTTTTCAAACATGCTAGGAATATTTTCCTTCGTTTTTAAAAAATATGCATCTAAGTCTATTTCGGTACATGAAGAGTATTTCTCGGTGTAAAATGGGGATAATTTCCTTTTTCTTCATTTTTATCGTAACATTCACATCATATTACTAATTGTGGGACTTTGGGACAAGTTCCTCAATCTCCCTAAGCCCAAATTTGATCATTTAAAGTTTACATATTTTTGAGAGCGAGAGAGCGGGCAGGCACGTGAGGGAGGGAGGGGCAGAGAAAGAGGGAGAAAGAGAGAATTCCAAACGGACTCTGTGCTGTCTGTGCAGTGCCTGACGTGGGGCTCAACCTCAAAAACTGTGAGATCATGACCAGAGCTGAGATCAAGAGTCAGGTGCTTAACCGACTAAGCTAACCAAGCACCCCCCAAATTTTATCATTTAAAAAACCAAGTAGCTCTGCTTCCTCATGGGTCTTCTGTGAACAGTGAGACCCCTCCATGACCTTGAGGGGTCGGGAGTTCCCCATGAGCTCACGCCAGGAGGAGAGCCTGGGCTTTCAAGTCCTGTGTTTCTTTCCTCCCGATGCTTCCATTCTTTCTCCCCTTTCCTTGTGCAAATGAGCACGATCATAGTAATAACAGCAGTAGCTACGATAAGAGCTTGTGTTGGACCGTCCGCTTCATACTCGTCTTTATCGGTTCTCCACACGGGCAGATTTTAAATCTCACTCCATCCGTGTGGGGTGGG